AACTGTTTTTTATTGGGTGAGGTAACTTATTTTCTTAATACTTTTCTGTACTTTGACAAAAAGTATGTTAATGGACATATACTGTTTTCATTTATTTTTGTTTGTTCATTTACTTATTTATTTATTTTTTAGGTGGCTGGCCAGTATGGGGCTTTGAACCCTTGACCCTGGTGTTATAACACTGCATTCTAACCAACTGAGCTAACCAGCCAGCTCCCCTAACATGTACTGTTTTTAGATCTCATAACCTTGTTTACTCACTTCCCATCCAAAAGGTAAAAGCTATATAGGCTGATTAATATTTTACTAAGATATGAGAAGAAAAGACAACCAAAAAAAAAAAATAATCCTACCAAATGCTTTTCGGATGAGTCTTCCTCCATTCCTATAGGTCTCCATGTCAGCAAACTTAAGGGAATAGAAAAGAAGGAAAATGATCAATGTCAAAAGTAACCAGCAGCTTAAGACATCCACTGAACACAGAAATAAAGTATAACAACTACATTAACACTTACACATGTGGGATGGTTGTTTTGAAAATATCCAACATACAGTTGCAAGTTTCATCCCAGACATCAGGACTGAATTTCTCTCCACTGGATATTACTAAATTTTCTAAGCAATTTGTACCTGATCGAGCCAACTGTTCATTATCTGCAAAATGAAGCAGTACCTATCATTAAACTTTGACTGCTGTTTTGATGCCAGCCAGGATCTAGATGCTTTACACTGTGAGGTGGAGACTGCAACTGGTGGTTGTGTAGGCTTTTAATTAATGAAGCAATGCTATAATATTTATCATAGTTTTATTGCTAGGGATGAAAGAAGGTCAACGTTTGGCTCCTTTAATTAACTGGCTCATGTATGAGAAATGGTAAAAGAAGATGAAAAACATTAGATCAGTGTTTACAAAAATGTAGTCACTCAAACACTACATTTCCAATTTTCCCATCTAAATGGTACCAACTATTTTGTCCTTTATTTTAAAACTGAGTCACTTTTCTAAAAACATAACTAAATTTAGCCTTGTTTAAGCCAAAATTATCTATAGAATCTAGGTCTGATGTGCTACGTAGGTATTTTTCCTGATATACACTAAAATAAATACATAACTGTTCAAATAATTAGATATCTACTGATAAGGTTGTTGATTTTGACTCCAGCAGTATGAGGGTACTTCAAAAGTTCATGGAAAAGCAGAATTGAAACATAATACACAGCCAATCTGGTGGCTCACTTGGGAGAGTGTGGCGCTCTCACCACAGGTTCGGATCCTATATAGGGATGGCCCGTGCACTCACTGGCTGAGCGCGGTGCAGGCAACACCACGCCAAGGGTTGCGATCCCCTTACCGGTCACAAAAAGAAAAAAAAAAAAGAAACATAATACAAATCTTACCATGAACTTTTTTTTTTTTGTCTTTTTGTCTTTTTTCGTGATCGGCAACGGATCGCAACCCTCAGTGTCGCGCCCGTACCGGACCGGGACC